TACACAGTAACTAGTTTTTACCGTGTTATGAGTTGTTAGCCAAACTCTATAAATAGAGGCTGATCTCTTAATAAAAGATATCTTTCAATCTCTTCAAGAAACCATTGTGGCTGTGTACATCACAACATCTTCAAAATATTTTTAAAAAAAAATCATTATCTGGGCAAGAAGCTTTTTCAACTACCAAAGTCTGCTCCCGAGGAGGAGAAGGAATGAAATCCATTTTTGCAGAGGAGTTTATTTATCCTCTGCAAAAAATAAATTAAATTCCTCTGTTAGGAAAACCTCTGATAAATCTTTCATTAACAACCTCTTGCTCTCCTTAAAATTCTGCTAGATCTTCACTCCCAACACGAACATTGAAATCTTCTTCATCATCAGACAAAACGTTATCCTTGATATGTAAATTTGACTGCTCACTTATTGAATTGATGATACCATGACTCAGAGGTGAAACACGCTTTTGGAACCCTCCTATTTCCTTTGTTAGCTTCCGAATGTGGAAAAAAGATTTTGTCAATGGAAAATGGCGCAAGCTGGGTGCTTATCATGTGAAAATTGAGGAAGGGTGTTTTAGCAAAACACAGTAAGGAGGAGGTGATTATAGTGTTCGGAGGATGAGTGAGAGTTTGTGACTTACCTCTAGAATTTTGGAATAAGCAATGTTTCAAGGCTATTGGATCTCATCTTGGAGGTTTGAAGAGCATTGTATCAAAAACCCTTAATTTATTGGATTCTTCAAAAGCATGGATTCTAATAGAAGAAAATTTTGTTTGGTTTCTACCTGCCTCAATCAAAATAACCTCCCCTTCTTTGGGTTCTTTTTCAGTTCATTTGTTCGATTCAAATAAATATGCAAGCGACTTGGATATGAAATCAAATTCGATTGAAGACACTTCAAATCCATTGGATGTTCAAAGATAACAAAGTTTTTGCAGATGAGGAGTCTTCATTTGGGAAGGAGTCCTTTTTTATTGAGAAGAGAGTAGGGCAGAAAAGGCATTTATGGATACGTTATTGGAAAATCAAACGGCAGTTTTAGAAGTTAATGTGACGACGGTTTGTAACCCTAATTCTCAGCGGAAAGTAGCACTAATTTTGATCCAGATATTTTGCCACGTAGAAATTCCGTCCCCCTCTCCCAGTCTTTTATTCAAAAAGGCACTTTCACAGAATAAAGTAAATACAATTCAGATAAACAAGAACGAAAATAGACATAAAATCATCTTCAATGAGCAATATCAGCCAAGGACCACCATGGTAGAAGCCAAAACACTTCAAAAACAAATCCTAGAACACCAAAGAGACTTCAAAACCTACATGAGAGAAGAAGAAACCGAAGAAGGAAAAACCTCAAAAGCGACCTCCAAAACCCTTCCATTTGGATAAATCCTTAGTAGGAAAGCAAACAGAAAATTTCTCATCTAACCTACGATCTTCACATAGAAATTTCCTAACTTCTGCAATTTACCAATTGCCACTTCCTCTTTCAAGCTTTGTCCATCACCAAATTTTAGAACAGCTTTATCCACCATAAACGGACAACTTTGAGAAAAATTCCCTATTAAAACAATAGCAATTTCGTTCCAATAGCCATGGACACAATCTAGTAATGCCCATTAGATTAACCCAATCCAACTCCACTACCTCTGTCTCTTTCTTAACCCAATATTGGTTATTACTTTTAGGAAATGTTTCTTCCTTCAAAACATACTTCTTTAAATTTTGAGAAGAGACTTCCTTCTTTGTCGCTTCTCCACTACTGCTGCTGGCTTCGAGGATAGATCATCTTTTATAAGCTTGTTCCATTTTCCTTTAATGACCTCGGCATAAGAAGACTGAGTCCTTAAATTCCCCTTTTGTGAGCTTTCCTTTGTTCTTGATAAGTAGACCTTAATCACGTCCCAAAAGCTAGCCATCCATTTTTTTCAATCGCTACCTCGAGTACTAGCCTTTTTTTTCCTCCTGAGATTGGCCAAACCACCCATTCTATGTGAAACTTCAGATTTAACTTGAATTTCTGGATTCTACATGTACCAAAACTATTTCTCTTTTAATCGAAAAAGAAATCTTGTAATGGTAAATGTATCAAGGCAGCAAAGCTCAAACCACAATACGTGTGATAGTTTCAGAGGAAGCAGATCCTTCCTACTCATATCTTTTAGTTTTAACTCATTTTGTTGGGCTATCTTTTTGTATGTCATTCTGTTTTCTTTCTTCTCAATAAATGCTCAGCTTATCATCAAAAAAAAAAAAAATGTAATGTATTTTCCTTGTGGAATGTATCGATACTCAAGGAAAACTTTTGTTGAGCTACTTGATTTTGCAGTTTCTAATGAAGCTAAAGTATACAAGAAGTTGATTTTTTTTTAACAAGATACTAACTTTACATTGATGAAATGAAAAGGAACAAGAAATTGTCAACGAATACAAACTCTCGAAAGAGTGAAAGAGAAAGGATACAAGAAGTTGATAAGTTGTGGATTCATTATTAGGCTTCTTGATTTTGTGTGATCAAAGACAACATTATTGTATACACGAATTTTATTTTAGTTCGTTTACGAAAACTTTAATGAGGTTTTCATGGCAGCTTCATTTTTCAATGACCCATTTATTAGCTCATTAATGCATTCTCCATTCAATATTCTCAATCTTTTGGTATACTTTGTACTAGTTTTATCTTAGTTGTCGTCGATCAAGCTTCTTAAAGATTTCCTTCGGATTGGCCCATTGATATTCCCTCTTTGATTGTGATAACATTTATATGGCTCTTCCTCCCAACTCTTTTCCAAGGTTGAACCAAGGAAGATTGGCTTTCAATCAAATTTCTAGTATTTCATCATGTTGTTCGGATGATTACATTGCCTCTCTCAAGAGGAGTTGGAAAGGCTTCAAGTAGAAACATTTCATAATTAATCTCTCTATTGCCAAGAAGTGGCTTCAATTGTTGAAAGACTACAGCCTCCAAGAGCCAATCCAATTGGCAAGGACATGGCGTCTCTGGATCATACTAGCTTAGAGGCCTCAAGTTCAAACCTTCTCGTGAGCTTCATAGAAAAAATTTTTGATGTCTCCCAGGATAGAACCTTACGGCAAGCGCAGAAGTCTTTGGATATAGGTGAACAAAACTCCGAGTCCCAATTAACAAAAAAAAAAAAAATTGTTGAAAGACTACATAAAGGAGCTTAAGGATGATCTTGAGAAGTTTGTTCTCTGGATGTTTCTTTGTCTAAGAAGGGATTTGAGTATCCTTTGTTTGGCCGCAGTATTTTATTGGTTTTCCCGAGTTTTGGTAGCTGCTCTTGGGCCTTTTGTTGTTGGATTTTGGTTATCTTAATGTTCACTCTTATTTGGTCTAATTATATTGTTCCTTGTTCTTTTCTTGTTTTCTTTTTTATTTTTCTTTCGCTACACCAGGAGCTGGTAAAATGACCAATTTTTCTTTTAATTTATCAATGCAATTTTTCTTTTTCTAAATCAATAATAAAAATAAAAAAGTCAGAATTAGGAAGATAACTACTTAACTTTATTAATAAAGTATGCAGGCTAACGACACATAATAAGTAAGAAAAGACCAAACAAAGTATTTATTGGAAAGAATTTGAGGGTAAAACAAGGATAACGGGTAAAACTTACCAGGTCACCAATCATATCAAGGAACATGACGTGAAAATTTCTAATTGATATTTGGATGTTGTCAAGAATCTAATAAGAAAGAAAGTGTTTGTATTATCATTATTGAACTTCAAAATGAATAAATAAAAGGCCAACACGTGAGAACAAACAAATAAGAAATCTGGGAAACAAAAGATCTGCAAGTCTGCAAAAGAAAAAAGAGAATACTTTCCAGAATCAAAATTTTGGTTTCGCAAGTTTCAGCCTGATAATGGAAACCAGTAATTCAGCTCATAGGCCTACTAATTCTCACTCTAAGATCTCTAGGTCATTCTATTTCACTCTTTACTCAAAACAAAAGACACGAAATAACAACCTATAGAACATGTCCCATTCAAGTTTTGTTTTTCCATGAGAAACCATTTCTTTTATGAGAAACCATGCTTTCATTGAAATATAAGAAATAAAAAAATACAAGGACGTACAAAAAATCCAAACCCAAAATGAGTCAAACTAAAAAAAGAGACTCCAATCAAACACAATCAAACCTAAGGGGCCATTTGTTTCGTGGGAATCTAAGATTCCTATGAGACGGGCAATCTGGATTCCCACGTTTGTTTTGCGGTAATGTAAGATACCCATGTATCTCAGGATGCCCGAGTATCCTAGTATGCCCATATGGAAGGCATCCGAGTCGATTTGGACGCCCTTTTGAAACATAGATTTCCATGATTCCCCCCTTCATTATTTTTCATATATTTTCTTTTACCAACTTTCTTTAGTTTTATTTGTAATTTTATAATTTAAATAAATTAATGTACTATTGACTAATAAGCAATTAAGTATATTTATGCATTACACATACATATAAAATAAACTTCAATTAAATTATATAATATCCCCATTTACTTTTAATAATTGGAATGACTTATTATGAATAATATCTATTATCTTGAATACATAATTTTAAAACAATATTTTTTTAACGATTAGCCTACCTTTGATATTCTTCTTCTTAAAATAATATAATTTGATAATATAATAAATGAATTTCACCAAATATAATATTAATTATATAATTGTATTTTAAAAAAATATGAAAGTTGAAAATGAAATTCATATTCAATATTAATTACTTTTTAAAAAGTCTTATATTAATATGAATTCTACTAGCATACAAAAATTAATACATATATGCAATTAATATAAAAAAACGAAAAATATTAAATTAATTTTAAGAAAATCTATTATATAAATGCAAATTATATTATATTAATGTATAAATCATATAAAAATTCTTAAGGACATTTTTGGAACATTATATAAATTTAGAACATTCCCATGAATAAATCCTACAAAATAAACGTGACTATCCAGATATTCCCGGACATCCTTATATATTTTCCTACGAAACAAACGTGGTCATCTAAATATGACGGACATCTATAATTCTAGACATCTGAAATTCCAAACGTCTGAAGATGTAGGACATCTACATTCCCAAAAAACAAACAGCCCCTAAGGGATAATTACAAAAGCCATTTAGCACTAAAGCCCAACGAGAAACATAGAATCTAACAAGGGACCAAACCTCCTCCAAGGTCTCTCCACTCCTCTAAGAATTTGATTATTTCTCTCAACCAAACACCTTAGAGAAATACAGAAACAAGTCAACCACAACAAACTATCCACTCCTATAAGAATTTGATTATCTCTCAACCAAACACCTTAGAGAAATACAGAAACAAGTCAACCACAAGAAACTATCCTTTGAAAGGGCGAGTAAAGAAGGACCTCCTCCGCCATCGAACTACATCTTCTACGCCTGGCCAAACTATAACCAAACAACTCAAAGAATTAACTCCAAATTGTGTAAGCATAATTGCAACTCCATAGAAGGTGATTCAAGTCCTTTGCTGCTCTCCTACATAGGATACAACAAAACCTCATACTCCTCATCTTTCAACGCCCTACTTGTGACAATGTTCCAAGCAGAAGATCGTCTATCCCAAGCTTCGATGAATGGAAAAGAAGAAATTCTGAAAATACTAGAATATCCAACCTTCAAAGGAGTATCCCCTACCCAAGAGTGGTGCCAGAAGAGGATGCACTGCCCATTCCCAAAGTGAATAGTGAATGCTTCTCCACAAAATGCCACTGTTTGTTTATATTGTTCCAAGGACTACGACCCGATCCATATCTTTTAATAGGTGTGATCCACCCAAAACAATCAGTGCAATATAAGCTAGCCACTACCTAACACCATAATGCCAAACCTTCCACACTAAACCGCCATCCCCACTTTGCCAAAAGAGCACGGTTCCTTTTTAAGATGCAACCAATTCCCAATCCACCAATTTCACAAGGTTGATAAACTAAATTCCAACGAACAAAATGACGCATTCAGCCTTTATCAACTTCTCCCCACAAAAAAAATGCATATGTTTTTCAATTTGTTTATCAAAACCTAAAAAACAGAGAAATAATAAAGAGGAGTGCTTCCCAAAACGGATTGAAATAAAGGCAATCTTCCTCCTCTCGATAAGTGGTATCTTTTCCATCTATCAAGCTTCTTAGAGATCCTTTCTTAAACAGGATTCTATAAAAGTTTCGACTTAGGGTTCCCCCCAAAAGGAAAATTAAGATAAATAAACGGGAGACATTAACCTTTGCAATTAAGGGAATTTGCAATGTGTACTCTTTGCTCCTCCATATTGATACAACACCCCAATGATTTCTCTCAATTTACTTTCAAACCCGAAAGCCATTCGAAAGCCAAAATTGTCTAAAACAAAACCTTTAACATGCCATAATTGTCTTCACAAAACAGAAGCGTGTCATCCGCAAATTGTAAGTGGGAAACATGCATCGAGTCTCTACCCACTACAAACCCCTCAAACTCCCCCTTTGAGGTAGATATTATTTAAAAGACTGCTTAATACATCTCTGACTAATACGAAGAGGAAAGGAGATAGTGGACCTTCTTGTCTCAGACCCCTTGAAGCTTTCATACGCCCGTTTGGCTTATCATCAAGGAGAACAGAAAAGTTGGTGCCCTTGATGCAGCCATTAATCCACTCGATCCACTTAGAACCGAACCCTTTCTGTTTAGAACTACCAAAAGAAAATTCCATTCCACCATGTCAAAGGCTTTCTCAAGATCCAATTTAAGAATCCAACCTTTCTTCTTTTTCACTCTATAAGACTATAATCATCCACCAATTCATTTGCAACAAGAATGGGATCAAGGATCTGTCTGCCATTTAAAAAAGCGCTTTGATTATGAGAAATTGTAGAAGACACGACTTTACTAAGTCTTCAATCCCTTCTTAGACAAAGAAAGATCCAGAGAACTAGTTGTTATTTGTTTTGTTATTTCTTACATGTTTATATCTTTAAAACTCTTTGTTTATTTTCGTTCATCAATGAAAATTCTCGTATCTTGTTCTTATCTTTTCTTCACACTTACGGGAGTTTGTATCTTTGAACATTTCTGTTTCTTTTCATGCATCAATGAAAAGTTTGTTTCTTTGTTAAAAAAATGGGTCATCCTTTCAAGGATGTAAAGAAGACTCTTTGGATTCACATCACGAGGGCTTTCTTTTAAACGATAAGTGCTTGACTCAGACATGGATAGAGAGACACCAAGGGTTCCTCGTTGTGTTCCAAACGATGAATATTCACACTGACATTTCCCGAGAAACAGAGGCAGTCCAACAAAACAGGGGAATTCTGTTGTTGACAACCTAGTTGACAAATACCGAGATGACTTCCATCTCCCGCAAGGCCTACCCCCAAGGAGGAACATTGATTACGGGATACTGTTGAAAGAGGGCCACCCTCCCGTCAACGTGAGCCCCTACTATTACCCGCATATCCATAAGCTAATAGAGGACATGTTGGTAATGGGAACCATTCGCCCCAACTTGAGTCCATACTCAAGTTCGTGAAGAAAAAAGATGGTAGTTGGCAGTTTTGCGTCAATTAGAAGGCCCTCAAAAACGCCACGATACCGGACAAGTTCCCCATTTCAGTCATCGAGCTACTAGATGAGCTGCAAGTTCCCAAATTTACAAAAAAAATTGACCTCAAATCATCGTTACCATCAGATTCAAGTACAAGAGGCCGACATCCCTAAGACGGCCTTCCGGACAAACGAAAGACAATTCGAGTTCCTTGTCAGGCGTGAATTACAAAGCTTTAAATAAGCTGACCACACCAAATCAATGTCCCATTTCACTGATCGAATCCACCTTAAATCAGGATATCAAAAGAAGGTCACTAAAAGTTCTTGGCAATGTTGTTTGCCCTCCGTAATGTGCCATCAACTTTTCAATCGTTGATGTATGGCGTCCTCCAGCCCTTCCTCCATAAGCTCGTGTTGGTTTCTTTAATAATACATATTAATATATAGTGCCTCCCTTTAGGACCACTCAAGTCACTTGGAGGTTGTGTTGCGTGTGCAGGAGAATCACAAGTTGGTCACCGATGCTCGAAAATGTCAATTCGGGCTTCCCCAAATTGAGTATTTGGGGCATATTGTATCGGGCCAAGGGTGGCTGCCGACCCACAAAAAGTGTTAATTGGCCATTTCCAACCAATCTTAAGAAGCTGCGCGAGTTTTTGGGACTCGGGCTATTATCATAAGTTCATTGCTAATTCTGGAGCCTTTGCTTTTCCGTTAACCAAACTACTCAAGGACATTTTTGTATGAAGGCATCTTGCTACAAAGGCTTTTGAGAAATTGAAAGCACCCATGACTTTAATTTTTGTAATAGTGTACAACTTGATGCTAAGTCTTAATCACAATTTTTTTTTTTAAATTATAGTATAGCCATGATATCCGAGATTGGAAGGTTACACCATACTAGCTCTTCTGACAAGGGATTCTCTCTTCCCCGACCCTTAGGTTGTATCTTGTCTGTTTCAATACATCCCTTGTTTCTTATCAAAAGACAGAAACAAACACCTTACTAGCTCTTCTGGCAAGGGATTCTCTCTTCCCCGATCCTTAGGTTGTATCTTGTCAGTTTCAGTACATCCCTTGTTTCTTATCAAAAGAAAGAAGCAGTCATGACTTCGGTTCCCATTCTTCGCTTGCCGAATTTCCCTCACCCTTTCATTATGGAGTCAGATGCTTCGGACTTGGGGCTGGGAGCAACATTAATGCAAGGTCAACGCCCTATTGCTTTCTTTAGCTACGCCTTACCTCCATCTCATCAATAGAAGGCAATATGAACGTGAACTCATGGCAGTCGTAATGGCGGTCCAAAAGTGGCAACCATATTTATCGTCTAAACACATCGAAAGGCTCTAAAATTCCACCTCGATCAATGCATGATTCCTGGTGAGTATCAAAAATGGATCAAAAAATTGATGGGCTATGATCTTGATATTGAATACAAGCTCGGATTAGAAAACAAGGAGGCGGATGCATATTCTGGAACCGAGGTCCTCGTCCTTTGGGAGGGTGCTATGAAGGAGGATGCAACATGGGAGCCCACTGGTGTCATTGCCGCGCAATTTCCAAATTTTCAACTTGAGGACAAGATGGTCCGTTGAAGACGGGATAATGATAGACCTGGGGTGAAGAATGTTTATGTTAGAAAGAGGGGATGTGCAAGAATGTCAAAGAAATAGGAAAAATACTGTTAGAATGGAGGGACCACTGTACAGTAGAGAAAAGGGGTAGTTTGGGTATTCTTCTAAGGGTCTGTACACGAGAGGTAGGGTCCTACCTATCTAAGTATTGTCTTCAGGACTATTTGGAAGAGATTAGGGAGCTCTTCAATTCTCCCTTGACCCTTGTAATTTCTCTGACCATAACAATAGAAATGTGTTTCCATCACTATCATTGGAAGCTTCCCCAATTAATTCCTTTTCCAACTATTTACCTCCCAAGTATGGACAAAATCCCTTATGAAATGGTTCCACATTTAATGTCATAATCAAGTTCCCTCCATTAATGGCATTATTGAATTTTGAATTGGCATTTGTCACATTTAATGCACCACTTCGATTTCTTTTCCTATAAACTATAGAGAAGTAATTTAATGGCTTATAAAGTTTAACTTTCTTGGATAAAGATAAAACTTCTTGACTTCTATTCTTGGAATTAAAAATAGGAATAAAGATGCGGTCTTTCCGTCTGCTTGTAGCATATCAGCCACCCATTACTTTTATTATAAATTTCAACGGTGGGCTGCTTCCCTTGATTCTACTAGGTATCAAAGCAACTTTTGGACTTGTTGAGCTTAATTGATCATGTTCGAGGTCATCCGTTGGTGAAATCAAGTGAGCTATTGGATAGCCAGTCAGAGATGGGTTTGCATAATCAAAAAAGGGAAAACCTTGGGACTACCACGATGTCCTTGAAGAGAGATATCTGCCAAGAGGTTGAATTTATCAAAGGCAACAGAAGCATCTTGAAAAAAAGAAACCGTGCAACTTAACATTTAAGCAAACTAGCAAGATTCTGCTCGGCGAACTAACGATTTGAACAACAAAGAGATTGCTCTCTCAGTCTTTAATACCAATGGTAGTTGGGATGAATCTTTAGTAGTTGTTATTGACCTTAATGAACGCTTCAGTGAGATTGAACTTCCTTCTGGTGAACTTTTTCTTTTTAACAAGAAACAACTTTTCATTATGAAAAGGAGAAAAAGTTCAAGAATACAAACTCTCAAAGGAGTTAGAAAAAAAGGAAACAGACCAAACCAGGAAAAAAGCTCAACAATGAGCATTACAATCAAAATAAGAACAATAATAAAAGCCAACAATAGGATCAAGAGTCTTTTAACTCTGTTCTCACCAACTTTGACTACTGGAAATAGATCTTTGAGATCCTGCCAAAAATTTGGCACGAAATTCAGCTGATACTCAAACCCGATCAGCTTGTAACTTCAATCTAGCTTCAGGTGAACTTAAAAACTGCTTTGAAGCCTACATGCATTACCGATTCAATTGTTTTCTAAGGTTAACTTCATTTAAATCTTTTTCTGAACAATTTTAAAATTAAGACAAAACCAAAAGAAGAAGAAAACAATTTTAAAAGGTTAATCTATAGAATCGGTAATGACCAAGAACATAGCAATGCACAACAAATCCGATCTAACTTCAGCATGCATAACATCCCACAAAAATTTAAAACAATGCATATAAAATGACACATCATATAAAATGACAATAAGACATGTAACAATGCAAAAAATTAGCATCACCTTTGCAGTAATGTAAGATATAAATGATTGTCCGGCGTGATTATCTGCAAAAAAACGACAAAGCCATGAAAAAGCTTATTTTAATGAGTAACAAGAGTGACTTCCCAACAAACAATTTAACCTGCTTTTGGCACATGATCAAATGAAATGTAGGAAGGTAAACACAAAGAATACTGTCAAGAAAGTGTATGTAATATAATTTGTTTTGATCAAAAAAGGTGCAAAAGTAACCCTCTAAGTAGAGCAAAATGTTATTTATAAGTAAGCTGAAATCGCCAATCCAAGCTCAGCTTAGTGGACAAGGCACCAATTACTTACCTTTTTCTAAACAACACACGAACTTTTTATTGAATATATGAAAAGAAACAAAAATTGTTCAAAGATACAAACACCCAAAAAAGTGATAGAGAAACATTAAATGAGAAAATAAAAACAAACCAATCAAAAATTACAATTACATCGGAAATATAAAAGTCTCCAATTCAAACATATCATGCTAGGTGAATAAAGAGCAAATGTATTGGAAAGAGCATACAATTGCAAAGCTTTAACCTTAGCCATGTTCAAGAATTCAATAGTTGATCTACTTTTTCCTTCAAAAACCCTTTGGTTCCTTTCAATCCACAATTCCAAAAGAAGTGCTCTTAAACCATTAACCCACAGGACGTTTGGTTTGTTTTTTTTTTTTTAACAAGATGCGAACTTCTCATTAATTAATGAAAAGGAGCAAAAAAACTCAAAAGATACAAATAGGGTGTTCAAGAAACCCGACAACCTGAACAACTCAACCCAAACTGTAAGGGTTGAGTTGGGTTAGGTAAATTTTTGATTTGGGTTGGGTTAAAAAATTTCTTGAACCGACAAGTTCGGTTCGGTTCTCGGGTTGATAGAAAAAAAATTCGGTTCAAACCAAACCGAACCGGTTTTGTAATATAGATATGTGTGTGTTTAGGTTTAGGGTTCCTTAAATTTCACCCCTTTTGTGTCGCGTCTACTCCTTCAATCTCACCTCTCTCCTCTATCATCTCCCTCTTTTTCAATCTCACCTACCCCATCTCCTGTCTCCCCGTACTCCCGTCCCTCATCTCCCTCTCTAATCTCCCCGTCCCTCCATTCCTTCGTCCCACTCTCCCTTTCCATCCTCCTCCAATGGACGTACTGGTGTGACAACAATTGACTCTCTCATCACCATCTAGTCTTCCGTCCCACTCCCCATTTCCATCATCGTCCTCCAATGGCCACTGTGGTGTGATGATGAACAACCGACTTCTGGATATTCTTCTGGAAGCAGAGGAGTACCTCTAATTGGAGGGAAGAGGAAAGCTCTCTTTCATGGTTGTCGCAGCAACACAAAACCCTCATTCGTCTTTCATTCGACTCTCTCATCTCAACCCAATACCTGACCCGAAAATATAAGGGTAGGGTTGGGTTGGGTGGGTTGGGTTGGCCGTTATGTTCGGTTTCATCGCTTCTCTGATCTGACCAACCCAAAAATTCGGGTTGGTCCAAAAAACTCCCTGGACCCGACCCAACCCAACCCACGAACACCCCTAGATACAAACTCGCAATTGGAGTGAAGAAAACAGAGGAAGAAAGGAAAATAAACCAAAAGAGGGCATTACAACCCACCAAGATAAAAATAATGACATAAAGATCATAGAACTTCTCATAGAAAGAGCCTCCTATATGCCATTTAGGAGACTTGATCATAAGAAACGTCCTCTTCAAGAAGGCCTTTGAGATCTTGAGTAAACTTGCCCTAACAATGTTTTAAAAGGCTAAAGGCGACTTCAAGGCTTTTCCTCTTGAAGAGACACCTCGAGGCAGTATGAGGCGTAAGCCTCAATTTTAATTAAAAGAATTATACAAATCTAAAATTTGTATGATCAAGTATTGCTAAATATAATAGTTATATAAAAGTATAAAAAAAAATCACCAGTTAATTGCCACTTATATAAAAATCCAAAAAGAAGATCTTCAATGTCACTATTAATATCGCTACTATTATCACTAACAGGATTGACTTATTCTATAAAATTTGTCTCCAATGTTTTTAAAGTCTAGGTAGTAAAAGTAGTGATAGATTGAATCGTCACCACACCTACAAAGCATTCAATATGCAAAAAAACCTTTATATTTTGTAAGAATTGGGCAAATTACTAATATTGTTCTCATCATTACACGAGGCGTAAAGACTTTAAGCCTCAGTGCTGACGCGTAAGCCTCTTATGGTTCAAAGAAGGCGTAAGTCTCGAGGCTAAAAGTTAGAGCCTTGCCTCGAGGCATAAGCCTCTAAAGCTTTTTAAAACATGGTGCCCTAATGGCACCAATCTCTCTATCCCGCTCAACTTTTAACTCCAACTTTCTTATAGAAAGATCTTCTTGAGTAAACTTGCCCTAATGGCAGCAATATGAAACAAACTTTTCATATTAGTTACTAATTATTAGATTTCCTTTTTATATTACTTACTAATGCATTTGGCTTGAGAAAGATTGTTATTTCTTGGAGGATTTATCTACTAAAGTCGTGTTGCCTTTGCAATCTCCTCATCTGGAATTGTTTGAAAAGCAACTTGTTGATTTATTGCAAGAACCTACACAAGCATATTTCTTCAAAAAAGAAAGAGATGGAATGGGAACATGCAGAATTCATAAGCTCAGATCTGATTCAAGATTGTTTATTGAATGCACTGTTTGGCTTCTGTCGGTTCATTATTTGTAAATATTAGGTGTAAATTAGCTGTCAATATTAATTTCTTTATTTCCTTTTATTTAGTGAGCATCTCTTCAATATAAGAAGGCTATGTATTTCTTATTTAATAATTATTGGAATACTAATAATTTATTCCATTCAAATCAAGTTGGTATCAGAGCTAGGTTATCCTTAAAACCTTAGCTACTATAAACTCAGCCGCCGCTGCCGTCTCGTTGCCGGAACCCTAGCCGCCGTCCTTAATTGGCACATCCTACTTTCGGACAGTTCCTTCGTGCGGGGTTGTTCATATCGCTGACTGATTGTCCTTCCGTCGCCATTGTCATTCGCAGATCTGGAGCCAAAGAATGCAGATCCAGAGAAATTGTCGCCACCGTCCACGTTCTGCGTTCAGTTCGTAGATCTTTATGCCACATCTTTGTTCCGCTACCGTCCTTGTTTATTTCGCCGCCGTCCGTGTCTGTTCTGCTGACCTTAGCATCCGTTTCGACGTTTTCCAGGTTCGTAGGTCAGTTTCATTTTCGACGTCATGCTAAAATCCACGTCTGCTACGTGCCGTTCTTCGCAGATTTGTGGGTAAAGATCAAGGTTTGTTATAGTTTACAACCCTAGATTTGGTTTGGTTCAAGTCTGGTTCGGTTTCCGATTTGGTTCGGTTTGGTCCGATTCACTCAGTTCAACTTGGTTCCTATGATTTGGTTTGGTACGCTGGTCTATTTTTTGCCATCTTTGGCTTTCTGGATACCCTAATATCAATTTTGTGGTTTGATTTGTTATAGCTAACCTTTGTTTTTTGCCATTATGGTTGAAGAAATTGTTGAAGTGACTCAAAGTCTAGCGGAATGTGAAAGTGACCGGAAGCAAGTTCGCACCAATAGTGTTGACTCAAAACCATTTAGTAGAGAGCATTTATCACAATGGTTAGAGAACAATTTGTCATTTGGTAATCTTTGTATTTCCTTAGCACAAATAGGTAATTACGCTAGAGCACTTTCTTGTTTTGGCTCATCTCCGTGGATCATTGATTCCAAAGCTAGGAAACACGGACACTTATTTTTGGGTGAAGTATCCGTGTCGGACACGTCTCCGACACAGATAAGCCCGGACACGTGTCTGACACGTGTCAGACACGCATTTTGGAGTGTCTGATTTTTTTTTTTAAATCGGACACGGCTGGGACACTGTTGGGACACGGCCTAGACACGGCTTGGGAGGTTTTCTGTGCCCAAATAGAAAGGCCCAATGCCCATGAGTAATTTAAAAAAAAAAACAAATAAATGAAAAAAACCTAATATCCACCCACGATAACAAAAACACACCACCCCTCTCCCACAAAGCCGACGCCACCGCCGCCGCCCACCCTTACTGCCGCCGCCGAGGCCCTGCCTTTGTTTTTCTTTTTTTCTTAGGTAAACTACCCTGTCTCTGTTTTTCTTTTTTTTCTTAGGTAAACTCCCCTGCCTCTGTTTTTCTTTTTTTTCTTAGGTAAACTCCCCTGCCTCTGTTTTCCTTTTTCTTAGGTAAACTCTAATAAAAACAATCCTCTTTTACGTCCCTTCCTTCTTTGTTTTGTCACTATATTGGTCCTTTGGAACTTTGTTTTGTAACTTTTGTTGAAAGATGTAATTAACTTCATATTTATGCATTTTATTGTATTTAGCATTTTTTGTGTTAAATTTACATATATCCTAAAAAATATTAAAAAAAAACGTATCCCCAACGTGTTATGTCCTAATTTTTTAGGAATTGACGTAGCGCTGAAGCATAATTTAGGGCCTTATGGTATTTGTGAAAGGATATGGATAAAAATTTTACTTGAAGAATTGAGAGTCTTTCAGAAGGCACCTATACGAGTTTATTGCGACAACAAGGCTGTCATTTCCATAGCCCACAATCCAGTTCAACATGATAGGATTAAGCATATTGAAATTGACAAACATTTCATAAAAGAAAAAGTTTATACTGGTGTGATATGTATCCCTTATCTCCCAACAATAGAGCAGACCGCTAATGTGTTGACACAAGGATTACCAAAAGTGCAATTTGACGGAATGATTGACAAGCTGGCAATGGAAGACACCTTTAAACCAGCTTAAGGGAGAGTGTTGGTTCATTATTTGTAAATATTAGGTGTAAATTAGCTGTCCATATTAATTTCTTTATTTCCTTTTATGTAGTGAGCCTCTCTTCTATATAAAAAGGCTATGTATTTCTTATTTAATTATTATTGGAATACTAATAATTTATTCCATTCAAATCAAGTGCCTCTTTCTGGAGGATGAGGAGAATCATGGTTGCAGTAAATTGGAACAAAAGTCACTGGGCAGCCTTTTGGTGGATATGTTGAATGTTTGTCTTACAAGAACTCATGAGAACTCAAAAGGATAGCCTTAAAAGTTGAATGTATCGTATGTTGAAGCTCTGAAAGGAAAAAGGAAAAGTGCTCTAAAGGAATGACCCAGAGCTGTCATCAATTCGAATAAGGTGAATAACAAATAAATGAATACTTCATCTTCGTTGGATGGGGAAGATCATTCAAAGATTGAAGACAAGTCATTGCTGGGTTACAAAAGAGTCAGAGGTATTGGATTTAGGTTGGGACAATACTAAGGTCATTAACAAGCTGTTTGCTCATGATGAATGGAAGGAAATTGCCAAGGATCTTAGGGATCATATCTCCCAACCTTGCCTATTAAATCATTTCATGACGGACAAAGCTTTGTTGAGATATGAAGATGTAAGATCATTGAACTAGAAATCACTTTCAGGCTAGTGGTAAAAGATGGGCAATCATCACTTGAAGTTGGAAAAGTGGAATTGTGCAAAACATAGCAAAAAAGGGCTAATAGAAGGCTATCTGGTTTCCTTCCATCTTTTTGTGTTCTTTGTGGGATTAGTGGGGAAGACCTCAGTCATCTATTTTTTCACTGTACCTTTGCTGCCAACGGCTGGACTCTTCTTCTAAGTCTTTTTAATGTTGGCTGGGTTTTTGACAAGAAGGCTGAAAACAATTTGTTTCAACTATTTTGCAGGCTTTTTCAATCTTCTTCGATGGTTCGTTTACTATGGATCAATGCTATAAAAGCATTGCTCTCAGAGTTATGGTTTGAAAGGAGTTCAAGGCTGCAAGAATAGATCATTTGCTCGAGTGTTTCTCTACTACTAATTCAAGGCCTCCCGTGGGTGTTTTCTTTCTGATTCTTTTTCCCATTATTCCCCCAATCTTTTTTTTACCAAAATATGAAATTTTTCATTGATTATGAAAAGGAACAAAATTTTGAACACTTTTGAATATTTCATTCATCAACAAAAATTTTGTATCTTGTTCAGAAAAAAAAATAATAATTTCATGGATGAGATGAAATTATGAAAAATGGGAGGAGAGCATCCTCAATCGTAGAAGATCTTTTTTGTTCCCTTCAATCCATGTAGAGCAGAAAAAAAAAGCCTTCATAAATCGGACCCACAAAACTTGATTCTCTCACTTTACCCACTAGAGGAAATTCAAACCAATGAAAAGAAAATAGACATTAAATCCATAAATTTCACACAAATGAATCATGTCATAAACAGATCCGTAGCCAATGCATTGAGTTGAAATCAATTATCTTACCACATACACGCCTTGATAATTTTGCCAGCTCTGCAGCAGCAATTTTGGCCTTCTTCCCAGCAAATTCTCTTCTTTCAACCGCATCTGAGCTCCACTATAACAAAGAAAAATATTTCCAGAAAATTTGCAAGAAAATAATAGTTTTAAAGTTATCCATTCTCTTTCTGCAAGGCCAATGTTTATTGAATACAATTTTTTAAAACAAGATACGAATTTCTCATTGAAATAATGAAAAGGTACAAAAATGAAACTCTCAGTGGAGAGAAAAAAATGAGAAATACCAAAATCCAATGAGGTAAGATAAAAGCATCTCAATTCATACAAATGTAGCTAGGAGAATAATGAGAAAACAAATTAGAAAGAGCACCAAGAAGGTTTGAATATAGCAAGATCAAACAGTAACAAATTCCTCGAGTATTTGGTTGTGTAGCCTTTGTTCATGTTTATAGTCATCAATGAGGTAAACTTGATCCACGATCACTCAAATATATTTTTGTTGGATACTCTAACACTCAAAAGGGATATAAATGCTATCATCCTCCTTCTATAAGGTACTTCATCTTTGCCGATGTTACTTTTTATGAAGACACCAGCTTCTTTACCTTACCTTATTCAGGGGAGGAAAATTAAAAAATTAACCAATTATACAAGATATCTTACACAAAAAGAGAGAAATAAGAAAAAGAACACCAAAAGGATGTTTCATCTTCTGCTGGATTTAAGAATTATCATCTTTGTTTAAGAATTATTCTTCCGGCTTAATTTATGATTCTTGGAATGCCTTTATTTTCTCCTCTTAGCTTCCGCTTTCTCTTTTTCCATTTCTTTTTGGTTTTTGCTCTTTCTTTTCTTGTTTCTATCACTTCTTTTTGGAGATACGGAGTTTGTATCTTTGATACTCCTAATTATTTTCATTATCAATTATAATTTTGTTTCTTGTTTAAAATATTCGACTGGATTTAACTCTCTGATCCCACTCATCATATTTGTCTTCAAATAGTTTTTTATTTCTCTAAAATAATAATTATGAAACAACTACCTCTGTCATGTTAATACTTTTCATAACATCAATGAAAGGTTTCTAATTTCTTATCTCAATAAATTTTCTTATTGCCTATCACGATAGAAAATGTAGCAGATAATATACCTCTTCGTCATCCCGTTGAGATGCAGAAATGTATATATCCTCCAAAATGATAATGATAGGATCCCATCCAAGCTTTTTCCATGGAATCTTGATGCTTAACCTCCCAACACGACCTATCACAGCAAAAAATATAAAACGAATCATAAGAACATTAATTAAAAATATTATTAAAACATCCATCGGGAGTTTCTAACCCTTGAATATTTGTATTTTCTTTTCATTAATTCAATGAGAAGTTTGTATATTGTTCAAAAACAAATTATTAAAACATCTATTAATATTAACAAAAAGAAATATAGAACCTGACTTCATGCATGAGCTTTTAGTCTAAGTCTTAAGAAAAATAAAAAGATCATTTCATTGAATATAATAGCATGCCTAAACTAATACTTACTCCCTCATGTCTGCTCTTCTTTTGTTAAGTTATTATAACCTCTATATCAGTTGCTACACTCACAGTGAATGTGATAAAATCCTGTTCCTCCTTCGTATTAAGGATAGTAACCATATTAAGGAGTGTTAGTGGACCTTGCTTGCTCATATTGAGAAGGGGTGTCGGTGGACCTTGCTTGCCCTTAGGGTCCGAATCAAGAATGATCTTGACCTTGATACCTATGACACCCTCTCTAGGAAGGTGTCTCACAACCAAGTCTATATACTTGTTCACTAGCAATCTTGAGGATCTCGCATATTCATCCTTGAATTTCATGGATTTGCATGCTAAGGCCTGGCATACCACTAACAATAACCTCAGCTCCTTTAGCTCTACTGTCCATGCAGAATCCAAGGACACCATAGCAAGCCCTCCACAGAGCAAGGCCATTTGGAAGCTTGAAAGGCAGAGGAATATCACAGAGTCCTTTGTTATTGACTTTTTCAGCATAAAGCTCAACATTTATTTCAAGAAACTTGAGATGTTTTTAAATAACATTCTTTATTTAACAAAAAGCACAATGAAAAGGGAGAAGAAGTTCAAAGATACAACTCCCTGAGGGAGCGAAAAAAGATGGTAAAAAACAACCAAGTGATGAGCAAACATCTAAATGACACGAGAGAATAGAACATTGATGAGCAAAGCATCTAAAGTCTTGACAAAATGACACGCCGAAAGAATCTTAACCACTCCCTTCAAGCTGGAAATATAATTTTCATCAACAAAGAACAGCTTGAGAAGTGCCCAAAGACTCCATATTTACTGCAAAATCCTCCAACCCTTAGAAAGTATCTTCAATCATTTTTTTTACTTTTTTTCTACCAAGAAACGAACTTATCACTAGAAACAATCATGCTAGGCGAGTAATTTGCAAAAAGATCAAAAATAGCACACCATTGAGAAGCTTTGAACTTGGCGAGGTTGAAACATTTCATCAAATGTCTTTTAATCCCTTAAAAAATTCGTTGATTACACTCAAATCATAACTTGAAAATAAGTGCTTTGAAACCGTTAACCCATAATAGACTCGCTTTAGGAGGCAAACAAGGACCAAACAGCAACTGAAAAACTAATTTCAAACCTTCTCTGTCCAACATCCATGATATATTTCAATAATATTTTGACTTTATGCTCAACTTCGAGGCCTAAGGCTTGGTACTTTTCTTTTTTCTTTTCTTTGAATAAGAAGAAAATTTCATTGATGTCATGAAATTACAAAAAAACAAAAAACAAAAAAAAAGAGAGACAAACCCTATCCAATTAAGTTACAAAAAACTTCTCCAGTTCGATACGAGAGAATTCAAGTTATAGTTAATGAAAGGATTTACATATTTGACCAAGATGAAGCCAAAAAAAAAGTATAGAGTCGAATAGATGTTGATGTTGAAGATCAATATCTTTGAAAATTCTGGAGTTCCTATCTTTCCAGATAATCCAAATGAAAGCTCTGTTGATGTTCATTCATAAAATTGCCTTCTCATGCTTGAAAGGCTGGTGAATAAGGCTAGATTCTAACCATTCCTTGATGTTGCTTGGAAGGCCCAGCTATCAGCCGAAAGCAGATAGGTAAAAAGACCATATTCTCGAGGAAAAATGGCAAAACATGAAGATGTGGCACTGCAATTCCAAGCTTGATTTACAAAGACGGCACCAAGATGAAGAGACGGTCCATCTTGGACTTCTCTTCTAAAGCTTATCAAAGTGTTGAGGCAAGTGTGACTAAGTTCCCATATCAAAAACTTCACCTTCTTCGGATAAGATGAACTCAAAATGGCCTTGTATAAGTGAGAGGTTGAGATGTAGGAATTCGGATTTCTATGTAGGGGTCGATCAACCAGTGCTTTCAAGGTGCAAGGCGCGCCTCAAGGCAATAAACCTTAAGACAAGAGGCGACAAAAAGGTGTCGCCTGAGTGAAGTGAGGTGCACTAAATAAAATAATAAAATAAATATTCTGTAGCAATTTTATATATTAAAAAATACTTTAGGTGAAGATATTTGGTGCAAAAAAATTTTAACTTAAATAATTAAGAAAAATTTAAAATTTAAATTTAAAAAGAAATTAATAAAATTAGTGGTTAAGTAGAATACTAAAATTAAATCATAAATTACCTTAAATAAAAAAAATTATTGCCATCTTTGCCATTTGCTGTCAGATGGCAAGATAAAATTGCATGCAATTAGTGTTGCATGCCTTGAAAGTGTAAAAGGGAATAGGAAAAGTCTAAACCAAGCATCAAATCCCCATATCTTTTATTCTATTTTTTAATTCTTCTTCTTCTTCATCTCTAATTCTTCTTTCTTGATTCTTCTTCTTCATCTCTAATTCTTCCTTTCCGAGCACCTACGTCGCCCTAAATACATGTTCATAGGTGAAACTAAATATTTTGATTGTCTACGAAGAAGGAGAAGGAAGACATGATAGCTTCATATCATGCAATGAATGGGGCAAAGGCGGCACCAATGGCAGCATCAAAGGATGAAGCGACAGTGAAGGAGGAAGACTTTCGGGTGTGGGTTTTCATCTTTTTGGGGCTTCTTTTGGGGGTTTTTTAAAATTATAACAAAAAAAGGAGTCGCCTCGCTTCAAAGAGGCGCTCGCCTCACCTTATGGCGATGGCGCCAAGGTGCAGCAAGGCGCAAAAAGCGAGCGCCCGATTGAAGACGCTCGC